TTTTGTTTTGTAGTAGTAAAGTTCATGAAAGCGAAGATGATATATCTGATGATGAAAATGAAGAAAATGATATAGATGAATCTAGTATTAGACTATGATATTTGTAGGTACACTTGCCTGTGTGATTTTTTAACAAATATTTTTTTATCTAGATCTAAAACTTTTAATGGCAAACTAGCTTGTTTTTAGCACAATAAAATAATTAATAAATAATTGCCCAATTTTTCATTTTTATCTCTATTTATAGAGAATAATTTAGCATTATTTTAGAAAGTTTTGTTTTACTGGTTTTATTAACTTTTTTGGTTTTGCTTGTATAGGTTACGTATTTTAAATTTATCTATTATTTTAAACAATAAATTTTTAACGCTATTTTTATTTTTTTATAGATGTTATTGTGTTGTGTTGAAAAATTGATTTAATGCAATAACCTTGGTAATTTGTACACATTTGTACATGTTCTAATTAATAGAATAATGTGTCATCGAAACCAAATAACTTACCATGACATGCATGTATAAAGAACTGAAATTTTATGACATTTGGCTTTTAAACAAAATATTGAAATAGCATTTTGCATGTTGTCGTTTTTCATCATCATCCTTATTCTTAGGATTTCGGAATGAATAAAATTGGCACATCTCAACACAATTTATTAGCTTTTTCCACTATATTCTTGCGTATTAAAGCTGTGTCACCATTAATCAATCAATATTAATCTTATAATTATTTACATCGAAAACATATATGATATTTAAATCAAAATTAACATATAAATTTTTCCAAACACAATAAATACTCATTGGGCAATTTTGATAGAAAAAATCACTCAATTTTGAGGATTTACATTATCATTAACAAGCTTGAAAAACTTGTATTGGACCTTTTAAAATTTGAGATATATGACAGAATTTGATACTTTTTTTTAAATAATATATTATTTAAAATACAACTGTTACCAGATATAAATAAGATAACTAATATAATTAATATTGAAATTTACCTTTTCGTGCCATTATTTAATAAAGCTTAAGGGAAAAAGGTCTACTTACAATTTACTTATTACACCCTGTCAAGAATAACAAATCTAGTAAAATTATTTATTGTTTCTGGTAAATTTTATAAAATACTAGGAGCTCAGATCTTTTTCTAACTTTTGAAATAATTTTTATGAAATGTTTATTCTAATTCGTTTCTATAAAAGTAGACGATGAAATTGAAATTGAAAACTAAACTCACCTTTATGCCTCGGGAGCAAAATGGCATTGTCATGCTGCTTTTATCATTGCAGTAAAAACTCTCAAAATGCTTCGTATTTTCTGTACGATCAGGCGTTTTACACTTAAAATGTAACTTTACTAATATGTTATTGTGACACATCAGAAAGATGCCCTTCTGATAAGATTCGTTGCTTGATATCTGTGTTTTGTAGGTTTGGTTTTATATTTGAAACGCTAAACTGCAAAGCAACCACAAAACATTTTTACAGTTTTTAGTACCATTTTGTATGAAAAATGGTATAATAACATTGGTTTATTTTACGGCAAAATTGATCAGTCGGGTAAAAATATTTGGAAAGGAAATTATTAAATAATTATTAAATTATTATTTATGTCTATAGTGTATAAACTTCATAATTTGCTTTAGAAAAGTTTCTTCAAAAATTAGTGAATGAATTATATAAAATCTAATGTGACAACTATTCTGATCAAAACCTTTTGAAAAAGGTCAATGATAAAATTAAAAAAAATTGATATATCATCTCAAAAAGATTGGTAATTTTTGATAAGGTCTTATTTGCTAGAATTCATCATTTATTCCCTGCCTTCGTTTTGGACCTCTTAAGATAAAACTGACTTTTAAATTGAAATACCTTAATTATTTTACCAAGAAATTTTGTGAATAAGCGCGTATTTCATTTCAACTAATAATAATGAGATTATATTGAAGGCTTGAATCATCATATATCATATATACCATCCAATTTTATTTCTAATGTAGTTGCATTTGTGGATGTGAGGATTAACCAGATTAATCGCTTTTTACGTTGATATCAACATTTGAGTTTTAATCATTTCAATCATGCACTAATGATTCTCACCACATTTTGGCACTCTTTCATCAATAATTATTAATCATCGTTTTTATTCAAGTAACAGCATATATTTGTTGAAGCTGTTACAAATAATTTTCTTTGATTTTCAGATCACGAGAAATCGTAGTAACAGAAGATCGTTGTCTGTCGGATATTTCGGACAGCGATTCTGAAGAATATGAAGTTTGACAACGTTGTTTAGTAGGATAATTATAAATAATATGCTTAGTATATTTTGTTATATATTTTGTCCGAAGCAAAAACGTTTATTCGTGTGATATATTTATTTACTTTTATTAATTGTTCATGTAAAAAGAATAATTATTTTTGCTAACTCGTTGTTTTGTGATAGTAATTTTAGAGTATTTATTTCTGATGTTTAAAATGTCTGTTAAATGTTATTTCTCACAAAACTTGTGATGAATTGATTTGTGATATTTGCGCTGTGTTATGTTCCCGTCTCGCGCATTCAGGTGCATAAAAAGATTGTATACGCAGCATGTGTTTTATTTATTTTATTTATATATTCTAAAATGTGCGTTTGTTTTATAATTAATATTTGAGAATTTGTTAGTTATAGTAATTGCAAAAAAATCGAAAACAATATTTTTTGCAGATCTTTACGTTTCTGGACATTTTGGCATACTTTAGAAAAAATTTATGTATGTGTGTGTATGTAGTACTTATGTATGTATGCCTGGATACCAATATAATTTTTGTATGATACAGATTGAAAAATTGTAAAAATCCACGATTTCGAAAACACGGTTCAACCGATTTGAATGATTCGATGGAATGATGGATGGATTTGAATGATTACTGGGGAGATGTGCTAAATAGTTTTTGGCAAAGCCAGTTCATATGTTCAAAAAACATTTTGCTTGTATTAACGGAGTGAGGAATTTGTTAAAGTTTTGGTAAAAAAAGTAAAAAATGCAATTTGGCAGTCAAAAATGATCATTAGACATGTGCACATCAAATTATCATATATTTTATATCGTCTTTAATCATTTGGTCCGCATCAAGATTTATAATAAATATTTTAGTAATTGATACATTTTTTTGAAAATATATAACGAAAATTTCAAAACTCGAAGAACTTTGCAAAAAAATTATAATATTTGTAATGAGTCAAAATATTTTTCTTTCGAGCAATATTTTTAGAAATTGCCTATTAGGCAACGCAACTAAGGTTCACGAATTAATTTACTTTGTATTTGTTTTTCAAATATTTAATAATACATTTGACAGCATTAGTTTTCTTATAGTATAAATAATTGCTTAAAAATGCTAAATAATTAGAAAAAAATATCCTATGAGAAGTTTTTATTTCAAGAGTCTAAATCTGAAAAAAATTTGAAATGTCTTTAGAAAATTTAATCATTATTGTACTATTCAAACTATTAAATAACGACAAATTCTCGTTCAAGGTGTGCTCATTAATTTATTTTCGAACTTGGAAATTTTAGACCAATTATCTTCTATATATATAAAAATAAGTCGGGTTTTCCTTCCTGACGAAATAACTCCAGAACGCATGAACCGATTTCGACAATTTTGCATTCTTTGGAAAGGTTTTGGAGTCCGCAAGGTTTATAGCTAAGAAAATTAGTGGCGCATGGCATCGTGCCCTAATGCAAATTGCTGGAACTTCATGCACCGTAATTAAAAATTCGAGTAATAAAAATAATCAACAATTGTTTTAAATAATTTCAAATAGATTATCTTCTTCTTCTATATGTATATAAAAATAAGTCGGGTTTTCCTTCTTGATCAAATTTTTCCTTTTCAAATATAAAACAAACAAAAAATTTCTTCATCTTTCTCACGAAAGCATCTGGTGGCGAAACGGAGTTCGACGGGTTTGCTAGTTATAGATATTTTCTATGATTGAACCAAGCAATCCAATGAGAAAAAACTAATAAAATTAACTTTGAACACCAATTATCGTTATAACTGAGTTAATTAACTACGCAAAAATGAATTACTCGTAATTAACTACTAATGTTCAACTTATAGTAAAATAGCAAGTTATGTGATCTATCTGTATACAAGTAACAAAGTTTTTATTAAAAGAAATCGAACAAAAAAAAACTTTTTTTGACTTTTTAAAATCAGTGTTGTCTACAGATTATGTTAATGTAGGGCGCTGACTCAATGCAATAATGGAAACTTTTTCGAACAAACATACTTCATCTTTTCTCTTTAGGCCCTATCTCAGAATCACTGTAGTTTAGCTGTTATGATTTCTGCCACTACCGTACCCAGTTTCTCCTACATACTGAAATGAATGAACGCAAATTTTTGTACTCGAAAAGTATTTAACACTTTCTAGTTTCACATACTTTCAATAGTTTGTCAATACATTTTTATAATAAATAAAAATAATTTTTTTTTTTTGGAAAATAAAGTGGTCATATTGAAAATAAAAAATACAAAAACTTTTAAAATATTTTCTGTATTTAAAATTCTTATAAATTAATTTATCGTGATCATATAAAACATCAAAATATATAATCTGCTTAAAATTATTTAACAATAAAATTTATATAAGTAGGAAAATATGATTAAACTTATCTCGATAGAATCTAATATAGATGAGATATATCACATGGTTCGGATGGATGACTTATTCATAATTAATATTTATTTATAAAAATATGTATATAACGTTTGATGGATTGATCAATCGTGTCCTCTAACGACTCCTTTGACAGCGATTTTGACCTGTTCGTAGGTTATCCACATGCAGATGTTCCATGAAACAAGCCGCATGAACGATGGGACGAATCTGGAAATATATCGGAAAATTAGTTTCGAAATTAGAATAATAATTATAATATAAATCAACAGAATAGGAATGTACAGAATTTTACAAAAAAAACTTAACATAAACCTTTTTACCTTACCGGTCAAAATGGGTTATGTTTATATTTTATATTTAGGGAACAAAAAATCAATAATTATAAGCCTATATATTCAAATAAGAAATAGAAAATCCCATTTAAACAATGTTTGGTATTAATGTATGGTGTGACTTTCAAGTGTATGAAAATGTTGTTTTAGATTGAAGTCTAACAAAGCTCATATTATTGGTTATTTTGATGACATTATGAAATTAAGATTTATGCGTCATCTCACGATAAAAGCAATAATTATTTGGTAAGAGATCGAAAAATTTGGAATGTGTCTTGAAAGTTGCGCGGACAAGGGTTGAATTTGACAATGTTTGTTAAACGATACGAGTATATAATATACTTTCTTTTAGACTTATTTATAAACAATTTGTCTATTATCAGCTCAACCTTAATTTTATTGTAACGTTTTCGAATTTTAAAAGAACTCCATTGAAAGCAAAACAGAAATTAAACAGAGCAGTTAGTTAGCGGTTCTAATAAGTAAGTAAAGGCAATAACGAAGAAAACTGAAGTAAACGAAAAGACATAATTTTACTGAAAAGATGCGATTCAATTTCGTAATTATTTATTTCAATATTTTGGGCCAACTCTCTAATGATATAGCTATGTTAAATTAGCTATTCTCTTATGGGCCAAACCTCTAATAACATAGCTATATTACGTTAGCTATTTTCTTATAGGCCTACCCTTTGATAACATAACTATGATGACTGTTATACGGGGGGCGCGTGCATCTGTTTTTGAAAATACTATTTTCGAAAATAAACCAAAATTTTTGATGATATAAAGAAAATAAACAAAAAATAATTCGTTTTCTATACATATTTTTATATAATTTTGCACATTAATTTCTAGTATGATAATAACAGTGGAGTATGTACGAAATTAAATTATTATTGAGTTATGATGTTTGTACGAGCGTATATTTAAATTTTGGATACGTTCAAAACTAGCTTTTAAATAGTATACGTGGAAAATCTAATTTTGAAAACAAAATTATTTCTACTTCATACATGTGTCATGAAGTGCAGTGCATGAGTACTCTTTATTTCGAGCGATTTTATTTTCTATTCATGTTAGGGGGCGTCCATTAATCACGTGAGCTAGTTTTTAAGGATTTTTGGACCCCCCCTCCCCCTTGGTGGAACGTGGTGATATTCAAAATTACCCCCCCTTCCCCACCAAACATCACGTGTATTTTTAGTTACGTGAAAAAACAAAAATTTTTGATTCTGTTTTTGAAAATGATTGAATTTTTTTTAAAAAAATGAGTTAAAAAGTAAATACACGTGATATCTTATCATACCCCCCCTCCCCCACGTGATATTTCGTGATTTTTTGTCAAACCCCCCCTCCCCCTAAAAACCTCACGTGATTAATTGACGCCCCCTTATCAGATAAGCTAAAGCACTACATCGAAATTTACTATTGCATTTATCTTTATCATAACGTTTTGATCGGCCTAAGTGTGACATTAGCGTAAAATGTACATCCGAATTGGTAAAGGATTTGGCCATGACAGTCCCGAATTTTCACCTTGTGTTTCGGGATTTTATAAAAGCAATATTTGATCCGGATTTAGATTTCTTGTCCCGATTTGTCCCGGTTTTATGAAAATTAACAGTGAAATTAAGAAAAATTATGAGAACAATCGAACAAATGTCAATTTTTTCGAAATAATTATGAAGAAAATTGAATCGAACATGTAGATCGAAAAATTTAAGATATGTTATAATATCTTAGATAAAAAAGTATTACATATAATCGAATAATAAGGGTCTTATCAAATGTCCACAATTTTGTTTAAAAAAAATTGATTCATATAAAAAATCATATAAATAGCATTTGTTTTTTAAAAGACCAAAGCCACCCTCCTCCCCCCGTCCCAGATTAGCATAACTAAAATTTGCCGTCTCGGTTATGAATTTTAACAAAAAAATATGGTCACCTTAATTATAATATCTCTAAGTCTATAAATATGTAATATTTATATTATCTTACCCCTTATAAAAAGCAGAAGCTCCTTCAGATCTTAATAATCGTACGGTGCAATCAATTGCTCCATTGTACTGTCCTTTCGGTGCATTCATGTATCTAGTTTTGATCACATCGACCGGAGATGCAACCACAGTTGTGCAGAAACCTTAAAATATATAGAAAATAAATTAATAATAAAAAATCACTGATTTTATAACGTTAAGTAACAATAAAATATTATAATATTATGAGAGCAAATATTTTGTACGACCCCTTATTTCATAAATTATTTTTAGTTGTTTGTCTATATTTTGATTTGTATTTGACCAGAAGTTTCTTACTCTCAAAGAAGAAAGTTATATTTTTACATATATTCGATATTACTGCATCAAATTAAAAACAATCGGTATTAGATAAACTTTAATAATGAAATATAAATAAAGATAGACTAACTGTGTATATGCCTTCTAAAGCAATGGCATGGTTAAGCGAAATATTCAACATAGCAACTATAAAAACTATTATGTTCTGAATTCTGGTAAAAAATAGATTTTTTTGGTTCAGTTTTTTAATAAATATATTTAACCCTTTCGCTACGAGAATGTTTTCCGCGAAAGTGATACTGCTATACGGCGCATCCAGCTACCCAAGTATTTATTACACAACATTAAAGATTTTCTATTCATTAACAATAAAAATATATTTGAAAATCAGCAAATACACTTCTAAAAAAAACGAACAATTACAATAACAAATTAGAATTCTCGAAAATTTAACGCAGAGTATTAAACATTGAAGCATAAGTCAACACATACAGTCAAACGGATGTCGTCTATAGAGACAAAGGATACAATATTACAATTGATTGAAAATAAAAAAAAAAAATGATAGAAAAAAATTACCTAATGATCTTACTTGATCTTGGTTAAGCTTTAAATTAATTTCTATCCTAAAATGTATGTATATACATGGTTTATAAATGAATTTAAAGTATGTTTTAGCTTCTCTACAGGATGAAGTTTAGTAATATTTATGTTGAAAATAGTATTACGGTAGTTATCAGTTTTAATTTAACTTGTAAACTATTATTTGAGTGGACTAAATACAAAATCTTGGCGCATAAAGTAATTAAAATTTTTATTTTGTAAACTGATATTTGAATGTACCGCTCTTCCTTTATATAATATTAAATACTCCTCTTCATAATTAAAAATTATTAGCCAAATATTTTGAAGAGAAAATTGTCGTTACAAGTATCTACTTTAGTCATATGTTATTATTCACTATTTTATGCAAATAAAAATAGTCTTCGACGCCTTTAGTGTTCATAAAATGTGCGTTTGCCGTTTATATTAATTTTTGCAAAATGGTTTTATTAAATTTTGTTAATTATTAACCATTTGTTAATTATTAACTTACCGGCAATCACAGCTGATGTGAAATGGCATGGCACACCATCTTTCATGTGCAAATGTTGCATTAACAAATCCTTTACCAAATCGTAGCATACAATTTCGGAGATGTTTACAATACCATTACGGCAGACGTTAGGTGCTGTACCTATAAATAAAAAATGACATGTCTAATTATAATGTACTTATGCTAAAATTAAATTATCTAAAGTAAATGTATTATAGGTATAATTAATCAGCTGCAACATTGTGGCAAATGTGCGCGAGAAAAATTTAAACATGCACCTAAATTGATCTCATATGTAAATTATTCACTATCAGTCTGTAAGCTGAATAGTTGTTACATACAGGTTTGTGCAAAGTAATTATATATATATATATATATATATATATATATATATATATTTCTAAAAAAAAGATTTGTTCATATAACATAATAAAATACAACCAGCGATATGTTGTTCATGAATGGTTTATTCGCAACCTTCTTCGTTTTTTTATTTATTTTATTATTTTTTTGTTTTCTTATTATATAGACTAAAAAAGTAATCTATAAAAATTAAAATAAACTACGGATTCGAAGAATGGTTTCCAGCGATGAAACCCTATATAAACCGTTTACTTATGAAATATGATTGCAATGGAAGTAATTGATTCTGTGCTTTTTTTCTGTTCTTCAAATGTATATACATTTATGACTCATCTTTAATGATTATTCAAACCATTTACCAAAGCTCTTAACTTGCCCCTTTTTGAAATTGACTCATATGGATGGAAAAGTTTACTTCAAATCTTCGAAAATAAAACACTATTCCGAATTCGAAGTGCTTTGGTTCTGGAACTATACAACGCATATAATCCGTACAATATGATTTATTAAATATAATAAATTGAAACCAATTGCCTCGGTGACAATTGTGTTGGCATTGTCCAGCAGAATTTATTATTTTGATATTGTTACTTACCACGCCATAATCCTCGAAGACCTTCCTCCTTGAATATCGATTTGTATGCGTGGGGTGTGCTCTTGTATCTGAAATTGAAACAATTTTTAAAATTTATTGTAAATTATAAAACTAGAATATTGCACTGTAACAGAATAAATTTACAAATTTGTAAATAGTAATCTAATAATAGCAAATCAATGTAAATGTTGTATTTATTGAAGGACAATAAATACAAAATTATAAAACTATAAGAGTTAGATAATAGAAATGTAAGCACTGCAATTCCGATAATTAACTATCGCGCTTTCCATGTTATAAATTTTTCATTTCTATATAAAAATTAACACTTCTACTTCATGTTCCGGGCCCTGTAGATAGTAAATTTGAATCACCGTGTTTTTGTTAGAACATGAAGTAGAAGTGTTAATTTTTATATAGAAATGAAAAATTTATAGCATGGAAAGCGCGATAGTTAATTATCGGAATTGCAGTGCTTACATATCTATTATCTAACACTTATAGTTTTATAATTTCTTATTTTTAACCATATGCGTTCATTGTTGTAATTTTGAATCAATTTTTATCACCAACTAGCAAACCCGACGAACTCCGTTTCGCCACCCGATGGTTTAGTGAGAAAGATGAAGAAATTTTTTGTTTGTTTTATATTTCAAAAGGAAAAAATTGATTTTATTGCACAACAGTAATGAATTCATTTCGATTACAAAAATTAAGTGTTTTTTAGTTGAACTTCTCTAAGTAAATAAAAGTGAATCCGCAAATTATCCGTTTCATTGAAGTGCTCTTTGGTAAACCACATTTTTTGTTTTTTGATCTGACGTTAATACAAACAAAGCGGATGGTTTTCCAACTCGTGAGCAGGCAACGTGTAACTGCCCATGTGAAAAACAATGATTTTCTAAATAGCACGATGCCATGCACCACTTTTTCTTAGCTATAAACCTTGCGGAGCCCGAGACTTTTCCAACGAATGCAAAATTGTCGAAATCGGTTCGTGTGTTCTGGAGTTAAATCATCAGGAAGAAAAACCCGACTTATTTTTATATATATGTAGATAATCTAATATAGATATTTAAAAAAATAGTATAAACAGTAAATATTTTGTGTAAAATGAAAAATCCATCACACAGCCAGCGAGAAGAGAATTAACTATCGGTATTGCAGTTTTATTTTTGCCTACATTTTTATTATCTACGCTTAATCTTTTTAATTTCCTATTATTAACGATATATTCTTATTGTTCTACAAAGTTAAATTGTTTTCTGATTTGACTATAAACCTTAGAAAAACGTTACCGGAATAATTGCTGTTAGCGGATAGCAGTAATTGAAATTGAAATTGCAAATGCAGCGATTAAATCGGTATTCTTTTAAAGATATTAATATGAACAATGTTGTTTAGAAGTTTTTAAGTTTTTTTTTTTTTTGAATATCCTTAAGAAATTTCTTATATGTGTGTTATTTACCTTGCTCCGACTCCAGGATTGCGGATTTGCGCCTGATAGCGGACTTTAACAACGTCAGTGGGCTGAGCGAACAAAACGCACATACTTCCAGTAGTTGCTCCGGCTAATATTCTTGCTCCAAGTTGCATACTCACGTCTTTAGTATCTGTAATAAATTTAAAAATTACTAATAATTATTAGAATTATTTTCTGCAAATGTTTTCAGCTATTCTTAATAATTTATAAAATGGTAATACAGCCGTAAGTCAAAATTAAATAAGGGCTAAGAATGCCCTTCTATCAACAAGGCACTACCAATTTTAGTCCAAAGACACTAATAATTTTAGTTTTCATCATTAGATGATAAAATCTATTATTTTAATGATTGTTACTGCAACGGAAGAAAATTGTTATAAGTGCAATTATAAACTGGCATTTATAAATTCATTCAAATGCATTCAAATTTGTATTAATATACATAATCTTATTTGTGTAATACAAATATTATATACTTTTTGCAAGTAATATTTTTCGACTCGACATACTGAACCATTTAATCTTTGACAGCAGCAAAAATCACTATTTAGAAAAATTTTGAGTTTGCTATAACTCTTCTTTGCTCATCTGTTTATCGTCGCATATGAACATATTTTTGCTACTGTAATAAAATATTAAGAAATTCATCTATTGTAACAACTACAAAAAACCTAGAACAACATAAAACCATCCAAGTATGCTAATATATTTGCGATGGTTTTTAAATTAAATATTATTTTTTGCTCTTAATTATCCTAATATCGATAGTTTATGGAATTTTAAATTAATTAATTGTTTGATAACTCAAGTATGCCAGTTTCATCGCTTCAATAATTATATTCATAATTCAAAAATTACGACAGGTACTCAAAAAAGTTATCATCAAGGGGCGTCCATTAATCACGTGGAGTTTTTATGGGGAGTAAAAAAATCGGAAATTTTACAATTTTTCTCGAAACTAAAAATACACGTGATGTTTGGTGAGGGAGGGGGGGATAATTTTGAATATTACCACGTATCACCAAGGGGGAGGGGGAGTACAAAAATCCTAAAAAAATCGATCACGTGATGATTGGACGCTCCCTAATTTACACATAAGGCAATTTGCCTGGTTTCTTTCAAGAACTCTACATATGCGCAAGAAGTTCAACCATTAAACAGGCGTAGTCAATGCTTAATATTTCATTTTTCACAAATAAATAGCAAATAACAAGAGATCGAATTTACTGTTGATAAAATTATATTTTTATATAGTTTTTAATTTTACCGTATAACAATTTTGTGTAGAAATCTTTGACGGAATCGTATAAGCCAAGTCTTACAGATGAGAAGCACATTTGCCTTTGAAGTCCTGCAGATAATCCATTGTACAGGGCCCTGGAAAATAAATATTTATTAATGTCTTGAAGTCAAAAATAATTGAAATAGGATAAAAAATGGCAAATCTCTAAATCATATCAAAATTGAATTCTGTTTAATTCCTAGATTATATTTATAGCTTCTTTTGTAATATAACTTAAAAGCGCCCATTTAAAAAATAAAATGTTTTTCAATACAAAAATATTCGTTTTATAATTAAAATGCATTGTAATATCCAATTAAGGTTGAAAAATCTACAAATTTATTATAAAATATCAATGATAATTTGTTTAGTGTTAAATTAGTCTTGTGCAAAATTCTAGTCCCAGCAGTGGGTGAATTCATTAAATCTGATATCTTATTACTGAAAAGATTAATTGTAATATTTTATTAGGGTTAAAAAATCAATAGTATTTAAATACATTTTACAAAATTTCAACGATTAGTTTTGAACAGCCGATTTTAAACAACTCACAAACTTTATAATTCATGACGTTGAACCGTAGCGAAAATGGACTTAAACATTTGTTCACTGTAAAGACAAATAATAATCCTAAATATTAATGCTCACTTGAAACCTTCCTGACGAGCGATAGTTCCCATAGTTCCTATTACACCTTTGTATCTGAGTCCTGGTGCTTCCGCCACCACTGCCTGGCCAGAGGCGTCGAGCATTATGTTGCGCGCCACTGGAACAACCTCACCCTGCACCTGATGTTACAATGAAAAATGATTCATATAAATCAATAATGAAAATAAATTTATTGCTTATTGTTAAAATTCATGGAATGATTATTCTGTAACAAGATAATCAATTAAATGAAACCAATATTTAAAACTTTGAGTAGGAGAGACCGGGTACGGTTGTACCACTTTTATTTTGATCAGCAATAATTTTGTTAATTATATTGTGAAAACCAAGTGTAATCTGATCCTTTTTACTCCATAGGCGGGGTAAATTGGAACGGCCAGGGGGCAAACAGGTCGAATGACTTATTATAATTTTATAGAGATTTTAAAAAATAATAGCTACATTTATGAACCCAGGACGGTTGTGACAGGCATAAAAATAAGTTAAAAAACAATAGGTATGAATATATAATGGTTTATAACGACTTTTATTGCCAGAAATATGTAACACGGCACAACCTAATCATTTAAGCAAAGATTAAGAATATAACAATTTCTAACAAAACATTTTTTTTTAACCTCAGGCACACTTTTGAAAACAAATCATAGTTATGATTGAGCTGAGCTGAATTATCTATGAAAAAACTATTTGCTGGTAATTAACTACTAATGTTCAACTTGCAGCAAAATAACAAACGAAGTGAACAAAAAAATATTCATATGACTTTTTAAATGCAATTCTGTCTAAAGATCATGTTAATGTAGGGCGCTGACTCAATACAATAATGGAAACTTGTTCACCATACTTCATCTTTTCCCTTTGGACCCTATCTCATAATCAGTATAGTTCAGCTGTTATGACAACTCTCACAACTGGATCCAGTCTCCCCTACATGAATTGTATGTTTCAAACTATTTTTGCTTCTATTCTAGCGAGTTCGACAATATGTAATTACTTTTGAGTAGAAAAGAATTGTATAGTTTACAAATAAAAAATTGTTTGTAAAAACTTATTTATTAGGAAAAAAATATGCTTATTTGAATATCAATTTTTACTATAAATCATCACCATTGAATAAAAATTAAAATAAAACTTAATAATTAGTAAAAAATAATTTTTTAACAACTTTTGTGCGATTTATATTTCGTATCAGCTGAATATTATAAAAAGAGAGATAAAATTGAATGGCATTGTACGTGTAATTTTATTGTTTGCATGTACAGATTTAAATCACAATACTTATATATTTTAGAATCGTGTATCAGTTCAAACATATGCATGGACTAAAAAAAATGTTATTTTAATTTATACAAGTCCGTACTCTAAACATTTATATTGCAGCCGACTACTAAACGTGACGCCGGGCTGTGTGGGGTATTCTGCCGTCTTGTATACTTGCCGCTCGTACGAAAGTGGTTAATTTTATTGAAAATTTTACAAAAATATGTATAGCAGTATGATTCTGAATCCAAGAAATCTGTTATATTGAAATAAAAAATTGAAATAAATATTATGAAGTTTCATTCAAGCAGATGTTGTATGTCAATCAAATTTTAAGCTATTAATTAATACTATTACATTTTTGTAAAAAAAAATGTCAGCATAGGTTGCTATTGTCGTGAGTCGTTATATCTTTAGGTAAGAATCAAATATTTAAAATTGTATGATTATTAAAAGTTGAATTAATTGATAAAATTACTAAACGTTTGTATTTTGCTGCACTAGTACCGAGAATATATTTTTAGTATTTATTTGTGTTCAAAATTCATGCCTTGACCCTCACCTTGGAGCTATATTCGGATGATATTAATTTTAAATTAGGCGTCAAGTACAGTCACACCAGAATTGTGCAACACAAGTTATATTAAATGACAATTAGTATTGACAATGGAAAAATCCTAAATAAATCATATAGTTAGTAATTAAGTAATAAAAGAACAGATGATTTGTTGTGCGAGTTGAATGTCAGAATGAATTTATTGATTTATAATTAATTTTGGCTAGGTTTTGCATTTGAATTAATGGCTTTATCATAAACCAGAAAATTTCTTATATATTGCCAAAAACTAATTTTATATGACTATACGTATAAATCCAAAGTACATATATAGGGTAGAGTGGGGCATAAAGGTCCGCTGGTGGAAACGTCTACGACCGATATCTTAAAAACCAGTAAAGTTAAGAATTTTTTAACAGTAATATTTGAAAGTGTAGGAAAAAAGATGTACAACCAGTCATCATCTTGATTCTTGGGACGTTGCAAGAATAGCGGCAATGTTTGAAAATCCATAACAATTTTTTTTTTGTAGTTATTTTATTTGTTTTGTTTGTGACCACTGTAGCTTTACGAAACCCTAATATAATTTCTAAGTATACGTTATTTAACTATTTTATAAGATGTACTATTAATTGTAAGTTAGATTGAACAGTTTTTTTTATGTAACTATTAAAAAAGCTTACGCCTGACTTGGGTAAACAGGACTAGCTGAACCTTTATCCTGGTAAAGGTGTACAAAACAAAAAATAGCCAATAAAAAGTAAATTTAGTTAAAAAAAAACAGTTTTACAAGAGATAAATTAAATAAATAGTTGTTTCAACTTTACTGATGATTATTTTTGACCCAATACAAGATCAAGGTTATATGGAATGTTATCTCTGTAAAAAATGCACCCATAAAATTGATATTTTGCATTGGTAGAATAATATAGATATTATTTTGTAAAATCCCTTTAAAATTCAAATAAGAAAAAGAGAAAAAGAGAAAAAAAAACATATTTCAACAATCATGAATTAGGTGATATTTTTACAGAAGTCAGATTGTTGTTCGTTGTGATGTAATTGGTTTGGTTTTCGGAATATAATTGCTCAAAGTCAAATTGGATCTTTATGTCCCGCCCTACCCTATGCCAATCGTATATATCAAAGTATGCGCTTTTATTCTATTTATGTCACCCATTCTAATGTCACATGATTCATAATTCACTCAAATACTGAATAAACCCATGAATGTTTCGAACAATTAATGCTATAATTAGATGAAATTCGTAAAATTACTTTAATATCTTACTTGTAATCGAACTTTGGCAGTGTCCAGTGGAAATGACAGAAAATCTGCTATACAAGCTGATGTTCCAGCTGTCAGGAGTCGCTCCACGATTCCGGCATCTTTATCGGCTAGCACCATTGTCGTTGATTTTGATTAAATTTTTATAAAAATAAATAATTCTCAAGTATTTACACTAAAACCAATCTTTAATTTAGCCCCAAAGCTAAATTTGAATCACTTGTTGAGAATTTGTTTTCATCAATCAAAGTTTACATCAATTTGTGATCACTTATAACAAAATATTATATCACTTTTTTTCTCTTTTTCACAGCCTAGTTTTATGAGATATCCTTTACCTATAACTCTGGTACATCTGCAAAAGAGAAACAACCCTTAAATTTTTTTTGCTGATTTTTTGAATATTTAATATTTTTTTTGTATTTTTCCATTTTTATATTTTTTTTGTTTTCATTTGTTTCAAAGCGTAGATATTAAAGTAATATTAGTATAAAGAAGAAGATATATTCTAATGTTTTATAATCCATCATTTAATATTCATAATTACGCTCATTTGACTAAAATTTGTAATAATACTCCTAAATATTTTTTGTTACTTTTTTAATATAATCTTATACTTTTAAATTAAGCACAATTATATGGAAAAAATAAGTAAAAAAATAATAATTTTTAGTTAAATATTATTTGTTGTCATAAGTGTTAGTTTTGATATATAAAACCGAAACAATTTAATGAATCCATTATTCTTTACATAAGAGCAAATTTCGATTTCAATGTCTTCTAATATCATAATATATATTTTCATATCAATAACTCCATATTAATTCAGTTTATTATTTTTACATTAAATACAATATAATTTTTTTATTTACAATAAAATTTTAAGTATTTTTTTAAAAATAATTTTTCAATTTGTTTTTTAAATTTTGGATAATCGATTTAACTTTTTTTCACTTTCTGCTTTCAAAATCACAATATATTTTTCTACATTGCTAACTGCATTTTTAATATAATCTATTACTAAACTCAAGCTAATTTCAGTAAACCATTATTTTTTACATGAGAGCAAATTTCGATTTATTCTATAAACGATGCATTCATTTTCACTTTCGTTTTTTAAAATCACAAAATATTTTTCTATATCGATAGCTGCAATTTTCTATGATGCCATAAAATTTTACTTTTAACATTGTTGAAATTCTAGCCAATTTAATTGATTCATTATTTCTTACACAAGAGCAAATTTTTATTCATTTTATAAATTTTCGCTAATCGATTCATTTCACTTTTATCTTTTAATATAACATCATATGTTTCTATGACGATAGCTGCATTTTTTATGTGATTTATTATGTAGTAACTTTTAGTTAGTATTACTTTCAGATTCAATACAATTCTATGTAGAAAAAATAGTTGATTTTTTAGCTAAATATTATTTGTTGCCATGAAAGTATTAGTTTTAATATTGCTGACATTTAAGCCAATTTAATTAGTCCATTATATATTACATGAGAAGAGAAAATATTGATTTATTTTATAAATTTTATTTATTTTATAAAATATAAAAAAAACTTTCGTTTTCTAACATCACAATATATTTTTCTACATCAATATAAGCGTTTTTAATATATTCTGTTACTTTTATATTAAATACAATTTTATGAAAAAATAACTGTTTTAGGTAAATATTATTTACCATAAAAGTGCTACTCTTCATATTGTTGAAATTCTATATTATTATATAAATTTAGGCTAGTCGATGCAATTCACTTTCGGCTTTTAATACGACAATATTTTTTTATATAGATAGCTGAGTTTTTAATATAATCTATTACTTTGAAATTAAATACAATTTAAGTGTTACTTTTAATATTATTGAAATTCAAAACAATTTAATTATCCAATTATCCATATTCTTTATAAGAGTGCAAATTTCAATTTATCCTAAAATTTAGACTAGTGGCTGCATTTCACTTTCGGCTTTTAATATCACAATATATTTTTTATACGGATAGCTGATTTTTTAAAATAATATAATACTTTTAAATTAAATATAATATTAAAAAAAAACTTTTAGGTAAATATTATTCACCATGAAAGTGCTACGTTTAATATTATTGAAATCCAAGTTAATTTAATTAATCTGTTATTCCAAATGTGATAGCAAATTTTGATTTATTTTATAAATTTAGGCGGGTCGCTGCATTTCACTTTTTGCTTTTAATATCACAATATTTTTTATATGGATAGCTGAGTTTTTGATATAATCTATCATTTTGAAATTAAATACAATTTTATGTTAATATATGTATTTATTTAAGTAGCTTTTATTTACCATAAAAGTGCTACTTTTAATATTGTTGAAATCCAAGCTAATTTAATTAATCTATTATTCCTCATGTGATAGTAAATTTTGATTTATTCTATGAATTTCGTCTGTAGATGCATTTCACTATTGGCTTTAAAAATCACCATATATTTTTTTATTGATTTCTGAATTTTTAATTGATTGATTGATTTATTGATTATTAAATTGATTATTGATTTTAAATTAAGTACAATATTATGAAAAAATATTTTTTAAGTAATTATTATTCACCATAAAAGTGTTACTCTTAATATTGTTGAAATCCAAAACTATTTAATTAATTCATTTTTTTGTACATGAGAGCAAATATCGATTTATTCTATGAATTTCGTCTAATCGATGCATTTCACTTTCGACTTTTATTGTCACATTAAATTTTTCTCTATAGTTTGCTCCCATAGTAGAGTTCGGATGATACTACCGACTCGCAACAGTTCGACATTGAGAATTGCATTATTCGATTATTTTTAGCTTAAGCGTTTTCTTTGTATAGATATTATTATTTGTCTCTTTGTTGCGATGCACAATTACATACAAAGTACTACGTGGTAATGAAACAATGAGAACATTTCATATTTATTGTTTTCAACTCATGGTTTTGCTAATTGAAGCAGAAAACTGATTACAGTTAGTTTCTTAGGTGACTAGTAAATTTTTATCTATTTTTTATATTATCTTTATATTCACTTGATGTCCACCAAGGACAGCTGTAAATTATATAGTAAAAAAAATAAAATTTATTTTTTTATGAGAAAGGTACGTTTGGAAATCTCTCATCTATAATAAATAAGTATAGAATATAATAATCTATTCAGCGTCCATTAATCACGTGACGTTTTTAGGGGGAGGGGGGGGGGGTGTTGGCAAAAAATCACGAAATATCACGCGGGGGAGAGAGGGATATAGTAAGATATCACGTGTATTTATTTTTTAACTGATTTTTTCAAAAAAATTTAAACAATTTGAAAAAAAACAAATTTTTTTTGAAATACACAGGATGTTTGGTGGGGGAGGGGGGGTGATTTTGAATATCACCATATATCACCAAGGGGGAGGGTCAAACATCCTTAAAAACTTCCTAAACACTTTACGGTTCACGTGATTAATGGACGCCTCCTTAGCCTACCATGAAAATGATCTTTTTTCTTATTAACATATAGCGAGAATTCATGTATTTTATAAATTAATAGTGTGATAATAAAATTTTATTCATACGAAATTTATGACTATTCACAGTGCACTTAACCCTTTCGATTCGGATGCCGCCGCTACGATTGCAAAATTCATATAAATCTCGGAATTCGCGAGTGGAAAGTGTTAAATTCATGTGAAGGTTAATTTAAGAAAAAACATCAGTATCTCAGTCGGTAATTCAAATTCGAATTTTTAATTATTTAAGTGGCTATAGTGAGTACGTTTGATCACGCCTCTGGCAGCCTGTTGTCAAGCAGTAGTGACATCAGTTTTCACTTGAAAATATCAGATAGCAATGTGTTTTCAAGTGAAAATAGATTTTAATGGCGGGCACTCCTGCATCAATAGATAAAAATGAACAATTACAATAATTTTAATAATAAAATTCATTATATAGATATAGGACAACTGTTTGGTTTGTCATCTATAAAGAATCAAAGGTTGTTGGTAAGAAATTCATCACAATAGCTCATAGGATCATAAGAATAGATTCTGATCGCTTTTCAAATAAATAATCGAAAAAAAAACATCCATTTAACTTGTCTATTCCAGAAATAAATTTATTCTCTCAAATTCACGAAAATTAAAAATCTTCGGCAAATTTTCGATTTTACAAATCGACACTATCAAAAATAAAATTAAATCGAAGAATTGTAGTTTTCAAAAATCAATAATTATACGGTAATAATCTAATATTCTTTCTTACTGTTAATATTAATTCTTCAAGACTAATCATGAGTTAGAAAGTTGTACGTTATACTTTGAAGCTGTAAAATAAATAATAAGGATCAAGTGTGTTAATAAAAATCGTTTATTTAAAAATGGTTTACAAATACATACAAAAATTTAAATATGTTAAAAAATCGTCACAATCGTGTGTGAAAATTGTAGAGATAATATTGTAACCTCACATATTGGTGGAGAGACCTAATGTAAAGAAAAAATATAGTGTTTATAGTTAAGTAATCTCTGTAAAAAAACTGGTAACTTATAGTGCACTTGTGCATTTTCGAAAATATTGTCAATTTTTATTTTTTGTCTTTTATATATTTGATACACTGTTCTATAATTCCAATTTTAGTATTAGGTACCTACTTTTATGACGATTGTTCCAATTATATAAGAATGGAATAGTTGTCACCAAAAGCAAACGTAAGAATCTCACTCAATTTACATCCAAAATCCATACATTATGCGATTAAGGATGTGAAATTTTTGATGACATTATTCATTAAACAACACGTAATATAGAACAGATGAAATCTATAATCTTCAGAAGGTTAGCAACATTTGAATATAGGTAGCCTTCTATTTAATAATTCTGAAGTACAGTTATAAGTCACAAAACTTACATAAATGTTTTTGTTTATCAGCCTCCTACAAATTGCAATCGAGATTAACAACAATAAACTAATTTTTTAACATTTATAGCAAAATCTTCATTAAATATAGATGCCAATACAACAATACAATTATTTTTTATCCGCTCCAAACCAATACTACATTAGTTGAAGCAAATTATATACCTTTTATTTCGATTATCATTTATAATTAATTTTAGAAAGTGGTAAACCATGTATTGGATTGATACAAAAGGATTGTTGGTCACCTTTAGGTTTGGACTTTATTGAGTACAGATGCTGAATATAGATTGGAACAAGTACTTACAAAATCTATTCTTTTAGAAATTCTCAACAACAGCTTGAATTTAAAAATATCAATATTTCACACCAAAACAGTTCATTCTGCAATTATAAGCTATTTGAATTACTCAAACCTATCTATCTCAATTA